ATGGAGGAGCAGATGGAGGAGCAGAGACGGGCTGATGGAGGAGGAGAGGAGGAATGACAAAGCCCTTTTCGTTCTGCAGGTCCGGCCCGGCTCGGTTCAACACGGTCCTATTGGTGCTATGGCCCTGATCGTTTTGCATTGGGCAGGATACGTCACTTAAATTGACGTGCTGCTAAAGCTACCGAGGCGATCGCCATAGCGACCGCAGGACAGTTTTCTTCTTGGGTCTCCCTTCCCACTTTGTCTGCATGCGCTGATGAGCGAGGAGGCTGAGGGAAACATTTACCTCAGCTTTACATTTAACGAAGAAAAAAACAATCTCATCTGAATGTGGTGCTGGTCAGAGGTGTGATGATGATGATGATGAAGCCTCTCCCTGGTTTCAGTCTGAGCTCAGAGATCAAATCTTTGGTTCTTGTTGAACTCTTTGTTGGATGTGATGCAGCTTCTCCTTTTTAATGTTTGTATTTCTGGATATCACAGTGAGGCCACAGCAGGTTTTCAGCAGCAGGTTGTTTAGTGTTTCATTCCTTCATCTGTGTGGATGGAGCAGGTATCCAGGTGTTGATCAGAGTTTAGACTGATTGGATTTTAATGGTGATTATTAAATCAGGTTGAGCTTCCAGAAATCTTTCCTGATGTCCTTTTAGGCTTCAGTGAGTTTCTTCAGGTTGTTGCTGAGGGATTTCCTTTCTCCTCTCTGTTGGAGCTGCAGCAGCACCAACTGTCCTTCCTACATCCACTGCAGTTTTCATCATCATTATCGTCATAGTCCAGCTTTATACGACAAGTGGACGTGTCCAAATGTTGGACTGTCTCAGTGGAGGACAGTGTGTTTTACATGTAATGTCCATGTTTGCTGCTGAAAGAGGCTGATGGTCTGACCCCCTCCTCCTTTCAGGGTGGAGCCTGCTGGAGGCCGATGGTTGACACCAGGTCTGAGGAAGTGTAAGTGTGTTTTCATCTGATTCATGACAACAAAGCAGCTCAAACTGTCATTCAGGAGTCATCAAAGATCAATAAATGATCAATACTGGTTGTTGTTCTCTCCATCAGATTCCTGTCAACTCACCATCGACACAAACTCAATGAATCAATACCTCAAAGTTTGTGAAGACAACAGGAAGGTGACACGTGTGAAGGAGTGTCAGTCATATCCTGATCATCCAGACAGATTTGATCATCATCACAATGTCCTGTGTGGAACTGGTCTGACTGGTCGCTGTTACTGGGAGGTCGAGTGGACAGGAGGAGTTGATATAGCAGTGAGTTACAGAGGAATCAGGAGGAAAGGAGAGAGTAGAGATTGTGTGTTTGGAGAGAACGATCACTCCTGGTGTCTGTACTGCTCTAATGATGGTCACTTTGTCAGGCACGATAACATGAGAACATATCTGCCCTCCTCCTCTGTCTTCAGCAGAGTAGCAGTGTATGTGGACTGGCCTGCTGGCATTCTGTCCTTCTACAGAGTTTCCTCTGACTCTCTGATCCACCTCCACACCTTCAACACCACATTCACTGAACCTCTGATTCCTGGATTTGGGCTCTGGTCCAGTTCTGGTTCTTCAGTGTTTCTGAGCTGAGTTCAGTCTAAAAAGTTTAAAAAGTCTAAAGAGTCTTCCTCTGTTAAAGTCAAAAATAAAAGTTAAGTTTATTTATAAAGCACATTTCATCCACAAGGCAGTTCAAAGTTCGGTTCACCTTATAAACATAATACAGTATTAAATTATGAAACATTAAATGTTGTCTGATATCAAAATAATGAAGCAAACATGCATCAAATGTATTGATC